GATAGGTTGTTAATTTTTCAATTTTAGCAAATTCTTGAATAAAAGTGGTTCAAAGGGGAATATGAGTTAGAGTAGTTTAGTATTAAAGAAAAATTAAAACTTATAATAGTGTAACAACTAGAGGTTCCCGGATCCAGTTTGAAAAATAAATCCGAATTATTTCTCTAGTAAAGAAATCCTTTTATATAGCGTTAGTAATTCGTTTGTTATCTATTACTTAAATTTTATCGATAAAATTGGCAACATATCTAGTAGCCGTGATGCTAACTTGGCGCGCATTTTCTGGATGCCTAATATAATTTTATTATTAACTAAATCAAAATTGGATATGAATCTAATCTAATAGCTACCAAGCAATTATAGAGCAAGGCTTGGGACAAGTTACGCCATATTTAGTTAGTTTCTTCACTTTTCGTCAGCTTAGTCACCTTTCGTCAGCTTAGTCACCTTTCGTCACCTTTAGTCAGTTTCATCATTTCGTCTACAATTCTTTTAATTTGGTTTAGTTTCACAATGGCTTTTTTTTTTTTTTTTTTTTTTTTTAGATATTATTAGAAAACAAATCAAATAAACAAGATAAAATTTTTGTATTAAACTATAAATTCATTACTAATCACTAGATTTTGAAACATAAAAAAAAAACTGATCATAAAGTTTCATGGATCCCCGTAAATTTAAAAATCTATAATTATTTTTGGTAGCATTGGATCTGAAGCTTCTGAAATTTCTTGTAAAAAGATTATTTAATGCTAATCAATTCAAAAGACTATTCTAGAATCAATTTACAAATTTGGTAAAGTTACCGTAAAACAAAAAAAAAAAAGATCAAAATGAAAACCATCTTAAAATCCAACTCCATCTGCTATTATTGTTATTATTATTGTTATTATTGTTATTATTATTATTGTTATTATTATTATTGTTATTATCATTATTGTTATTATTATGGTTAGTTCTTCTCATCTCTTCTATTCTTTCCTCCAAATTTTCCATCCGTGCTTTCAATCTATTTCTCTCCACCACCAATCGACTATGTTCTTCCTCTCTTATCCAATTTCTCTGCACCGACTCAATTATTTGTTCTTGCTGTTCCTCTAATTGCACCTCAAGCTCCCGCACCCGATGTCTAAGTTGATTGGTTTTCAGCACTAACCTAAAAACATCAACTCATTAATCTAAATACTAATCAAAACTTACTATAAAAACCATAATAATTACCGTCGGTTTTCATTCTGGACCATCTCTAAGGTCCCAACCAAGGGAAGAGCATTTGCA